GTGTACGAAGGAGGGGATCTGACAGGGATGAGGAGGCAGGAACTGGGGCAGCACGGTTAACTCTTTTCGTTCGAGGCAATCAATGTGGCAGGGCAGGCAGATTGTCAAAGAATAGACAAATATGGTAAGTGCATGGAAAACCAGATGAATAACAAATCTAGCTAGCAGGCCGCCACTTGAATAGCCCTAGTTATGATGTAAGTAAGAAATCTTATTCCGTATATCCTACAGTCTTGTCAACCCACACTTCCCGATTTCTAAAGTAAACCAACATGGCGTATGTTAGCACTGGTACCAGTGAAGGGGACTCAGGAGAAAGGTCACGGACTGACTTCCGGTGGAAGAGCAGAGGTAGCTAGGGACGTACTCAGTGTTGCCACTTTTGATGTTTTACATCCAGATTTAGATGTTTTCCCTTGCATTTAGATGGCGTTTTTGACGTTTAGATGGTAGATCTCATTCTAGATGTTTTTATTCGGAGTGAATTTATCAAATGTAACCTAAGAAACAGGATGAAATTTGACCACGTAAATGCTATCTTGACAAAAAATTTCAGCCTGATAAAAGTAGGAAAAGGCTGCTCCGCTTATCAGCTCCATGATTGGGTATTAAAAGAAACTGGAACAGCTAAAGCCTACCAGAGTCATTTTGGATCTGAAGCTTCAACTTCATCATCCAAGCTAAGTTTATCCCGTGGATCTTGTGAGGCAGACTTCAGTAAAGATGAGGACATGATTCTATAGGGTAAGTCATTTCAATTGCTATGTAATTTGTGACTCTTTCCATTTGGATGTGTGTTTTTTTCTAAATGTTTTCCACGCAAATTTAGACGTTTTTAGATATTTTTGTCTACGTTTTTGGATGTTTTTTTTTTTTTTTTTTGTCAAAGAAAAGTGGCAGCGCTTGAGGAGAGGAGAAGGATACGGAATAGACTGGCTGATTGTCGCTTCACAAAAGTTCTGTGTGTGAGTCAACTGTCGAGAAGAGGGGGAAGTCACAGGCCACTAAAATCATATGATAAATAAGTAACAGCCGTAAGCTAGCACTGCTGAAACGCACAGAAGGCAAGGGGAAATCAATAAGGAGACACTGGGGCTGGGTTATGCAACTGGCGGCCCACGGATAGTATCCAGCCCGCAGAAGCCTAACAAGTGGCTCACGGATCACTGCCAATTGTATACTACTATAGTGAGTTCCAGAAGTCAAGGCGAACTCACTGACTGTATTACAAGAATGGTTCAGACTACAAGAAACTGAATCGTGGTAGCCAAGTGGCTAGAAACTAATAGCCAAGTGGCTAGAAACTAACAGCCAAGTGGCTAGAAACTACAAATCTGCTAACTCTGTAAACGTTCGGTGAAAGTTGCTGAAATTTGACATGCAGGTTTAATTTTACCTTATTTATGGTATTTGAAGAAACAGACACGGATTCAAAGTAAGCAATTAGCATGATTACAATAACATGAGAAAATTCAGTAAGGGAAACTTTTCAAAACATCAGATTGCATGCGTGTCATAGGAGTTTCCCTCTCAGGTGGCCATTTCTGCCTATCGACATACGTCTCCGATGTGAGTAGCGGATTTTTCACTGAGTGGGGAATAGGCTGTCAAAAAAAAAATCACCGCACATTGCTGTACACGGGACAACACTTATGGATGAATCAAAAATGGCTGCATGAAAAACTCACTAACTATATATAAAAGCGGACGAAGTCAAATGTGAAGATTCGATACAAATCAAAACATAAATTTGTCTGTCCTGTTTTGTATAAAAACTTTTTAAAATATGACGTTAATGACCAAACCTTACAGTGGCTGGCCTCCAAGAACGAGTCATACCAAGTCTGAAGCTAAAAGTCGCAAGTCGAATAGCAAGTCGCTGGACAAAACCCCCCAAGTCGAGTTACAAGTCATTAATTAACGCGACTCCAAGTCGCAATTCTAGGACAGACAAGAGTTAAAACAACTCTGTATGTGACACGTTGATTGGATTCCCGCAAGAAGTTCTACACAAAGACATTCAGTGAAACCGTGAATCAATAACTTCTTAATTATGTACATCCGGTCTGATGACAGTGCGTGCAGTCACTCAGCAACAGTGTATCTGGGTCGGGAGGAATTAGCAGAAGGGATGGGGCGGAAAGGTGGGGTTGCAGTTACTTGCATGACTTCTTCTTCTTCCTTCTTTGCGTTCACCATCTGTAAACTCTAGTGGAAAGTTCTGGTTGTTCGTCCACTTCTGCAGTCCTATTCCAGAACCTGAATGATGCGTGGGTATTTGTTAGAGATCTGACTCATATGTGTGCAGACTATTGGTTCCTCGCCTCCCAGGCAGATGCACTCCGACTTTGAAGGAAGCTCCGAATCAGTCGACTCTTACGTCATGCTTTTGGATAGGCAGTGGGTCTATTCTTGTTTTCCCTATAACAGGGCCCCTATAACAGGGGGAACTTGCATGACAACTGTCTCCGCTTGGTCTTACTGGATCTCAAATTGTTGCTCCCCACGGTTCTTAATGCCAACCATGAATGTATGTCGATGATGATGATAATATTATACTTCAATATGTACGTCGTGGCTCAAATCAACTAGAGCTAACTTCGAACCCTAGTACGTCGGGATAATGACTACTCGCTCACTAGCCCAAAGCCACATACGCCGAAGTGCACCTGCTTACAGAGGTAATTTAACACGACCGTCTGTAATGTGGATCAATGAAAAAAGTTCATTGTTAAGAAGATCATTGTTCTAGCAATGTCTCCTCTGCTTGTCACAATCAATTTCTGCTCATATTCACGCATTCGTTTTCCTTTATCTGCCGGTCCATGTTTCCAATATATCGACATTTTGCTTCTATCTGGATTCCATGTTGTCTCAAGCCTGCGTTTATACTTATTAACTCCCGCGGTAACAGTCAGATATTATTTAATTTATTCTACCCTAAATGTTTTTTATTGTAACCAATAAATGCTAGGGTAGGAATGGGTCAAAATAAAAATAATGTAAAAGAGAAAGAGGTAAAATGGGGGGTACTGTGCGTCATTGTTACAACTGTACGTAAAGACAAAACTATAATTTGGGTACAAGCGAATAAAAGCTTGATGAGCTTGGTAATAAATAAACCGAGCATCCTGGTTCCTTCAATCTAATCTCTTTCTGAAATGTTTGTGTTATTCTAGACAAAGCATTAAGGTCTACTGTGTTTGTAAATTGTTTCTGTTTGTTATTAGACTTATGCTTTGTTAATATGAGTTTTTGTAACCTATGTTACAATTTCAATGGTTAGAGATGAATTATGTCCGTATTCCATAATTGTAAATTTCAAGCTGTACGATAGACATGCCAGTGTGCACCGCTTTTTGGGGGGGAAAGGGGGGGGGGGGCTACTTGACTATTTTCTTAGTAAGCTTGTTTTCACTGCGAGGCGCACACGCCGTTTGGAGGTGACAGGTTCGATTCCCGGCACTGCAACTGTAGTTTTCGATGTTTATGTTGTCTAGTGTGTCCTTCTATCTTTCTACTTCTTTCTATGAGTGCCAGTCAATACAGTCTCTTTATTAATTATGTATCTATAATAGGGTCCCCCCTCTATTTATGTGTACGGTAGCTATGCGTTGTTTTGTGGTTATGCAAAGTGCCGGCATTCTAATGGGATTCAGTTTGTAGCACCTGTAGCAACTGCATACCTGACAGGTAACTTGGAGGCATCTCTTCGTGTCTGAATAAATATAGTTTCTAAATGTTCAGAAAGGTTGTTTTTATTTTAAAACTACATGCAACACATTGCCACCGTAACGTAATCAGGACCGCAAAAATTGTTCACGTAGATAAACTTCACTGCTGTGCCATTCATGTGTACATACTAGGGGAAGGGTGTCTTGCGAACTCTGTGTGTGTTTGTAGTGTGTGTGGTGTGTGTGTGTTTGCGTGAGCGCGCGATTTGTCAACGCTTTCTCAAGACAGCCATCCGACGGTGATAAATCAGGAAACGAAACCGCGGATAAACATGCAAAGAAAAGGCGCAGAGTGTAAACAGAAGGAGAATGCAGTAACATACTTTGAGAAGAAAAAGGCCATACAATTCATCAGAAGTGAACAGAATCTGACTAGAGATGACGACTACCACTTTGCGGCTTGGGCAGGTCATTATTCTACACATCAGGACAGGACATAAAAATATACCCCGACGCGTCTTTTCTTTGCTTAACACGTGTAACAAGCATGTGCACAGACTTCGTCTCAGTAGTTCATCACTGTGCATGTGCGGCCTGTGTGTGAACTACAGAACATGCCCCGCAAGTATATCCCTTGTACAGCCCTTTAAAACGGGAATGCTGGGGCACTGAGTCAACACTGGTCCCTGGGTAGTAGGATCGGACGCTCGTGTGCTGCGCAGTTTTAAAAAAAATCCCTAGGCAGGTAAAAATCGAAAAGAGTGGCCTAACGGCGCTGCCAGAAGGGACTAAAAGGAAACTTCTAAAAACAGTCATGACCAGAACATGTCGGTGGGTTTAAATCAGAAAGCTACTTTAAGTAAACATAAGACAGCCATTATTTCCATGTTTTCTTGATACTTGGCGATTATTTCCAGGCTTCCTTCACATGTTAGCGTCACTCAATGCTCAGAAATACAGATTATTTTCGAGGATTTTTTTTTAAATTAATTTTTTTTTTTCCTTAAATTTAACATCCTTTAAAGGATTTGTTAAACAATACAGGCAGTTTAAGTTTTCTCATAGAAACCATCATTATTTCACGACTGTAAATTCAAGATTTCCAGTTTCTCTAAGACATGTTTTGGGGATTATGAACTTTTCACAAGATTATTTAAATACATGAACATTATTTCAAGGCTTCTCTCAGACATAACATTTTTTCACGATTTCTCTTAGAGAGAGACTTATTTCAAAGGTTTCTCTGACAAAGAAGATTATTTCAAGTTTTCTCTGAGATAGAACATTATTTCAACAACACAAGAACGTGAAAAAGATTACACATACCTTTTCTAATTTCAATTTTTTAGGTGGTAGTTCAATTTTATCCTCAACTTTGGCATTGAACTCATAAGGGTCATGGACGGGATTTTCCCTCTTGACATGCACAGTGTCCCCAGGACGAGGCTCTGATGTCATAGTGGAATTATTTACTCCAGCCTGAGAGGTGAAGGGCGTAGGGGCAGGGTTGAAGGCCTGGCTACCACTTGAGATCCCTATACTAGTCCTAGTATCTGCATTTGGTATACAGGGTCCGTTTGCTGTGAAATTAGACCCAACTGTGGGTCCATCTATTTTTCCTTTATTGTCTTTAGCCTTTTTATTGTATGCTGCCTTCGCTTTGGGAGATTTTAACTCTTTTGAGTCTTGTCCGGATGTAGCAGAGGAAATTGCCTTCAAGGGAGATCTACTGCAATTGGCTGGATTACTGATAGAATATCCATGAGGTAAAATTCCAGCCTTCTGGTGTGTAACTGTTGGGTTCGTTGCCACCATAGTACCTGATGATGGCATGAACGAACTTGTAGATGATGATGATATTATAGATGATGATGATGTCGATGATAAAGTTAACGACGACGAAGCTGTTGCAGTGTGCATGCCAGCTGCTGAAATGGTCGGTTCCCCGTTGGCATTCACAGCAGACAGTGCGATGGACAGTGGGACAGAGGTAGACGACAGGCTAGTCACTGTCGTAGACTGTCCAGATAGCGTAGTCGCTAGCTTGGACAGCGGGTCAGATTTGACCACCTCGTGTTTGCTCTCCACCCTGTTGGGCCCTTTAGTGCGTTTAATCTTCATTTTCAGACCCTTATCCACAGAGGCGACATGAGCCACGTTGTTACTGCTCATCTTTTTTGTGCCCGGGCGTTGAAGAGCACCGCTAGCACACAACCATGTGGCCAAAGGTAGCGCACCTACATTAGGACAGATGGGAGTGTGTCAAACTACACCCTGACAATCGCTACTACAGATGAAACTGTACGGTAGCCAGTCTGGAGTTGCGGCCCCTGCTTGTGGATCTGAAAATAAAATATAAAAAGATATCAAACCAAACGACATGAAGAATGAGACAGCTTCACAATGTCACAAACGACTAGTAAACGTTGCGGCTAGATAGCCTTCGTCAGCACAAGACATAAATCAACACTATACCGCAAGTACAAACTCAAATACACAAAAATCAATGACAAATCCAAAATAGAAATCACATTACCGGCCAGTGAAAATAAAATATCCCCCCCCCCCCCCACCCCCAAAAAAAAATACTTCTTCCTCGAGTTCATCAGCTGTAAACTCCAGCGGAAAGTTCTGGTTGTACGTCCACTTCTAGACTTAATCCTTATTCCAGAAATTAACTTTTGCGTGCATATCACAGATCTGGCTAATCTGCATACAGACTGCTGGTTCCCTGCATCTCGGGTAGATGCACTCCGAATTTGAAGGAATTCCCTAATTAGTCGGCTCTTAGGACATGCTGGTTGGGGAGGCAGTGGGTCTATTCTGGTCTTTTCCTTCTACAATGAGGCTTAAAACTCACACGGGCGGTTGGGTAGGTGGGGGGGGGGGGGGGGGGGGGGGGGGGGGGGGGGGGGGGGGGGGTTATACAAGTCTGAAGTAAAGTAATGTAAAGCCAGCCAGTAATGCAATAAGAAGAGTCAAGTGAGATAAGTGTGAGGTAATAGACGCTGGGTGGTCTCGAGGCAAGGCGTCCACCTCGAGTGCTGGAGGTCCCGGGTTCAGGTCCCGGTGAAGACTGGGATTTGTTCACGTGGACTTCTAGTAATTACCCCTGGTCTCTGGGTAGTAGGATCGGACGCCCGTGTGTATTGCTGCGCACGTAAAAAATTCACTTGGCAGTTGGAAATCGAAAAGAGTAAGCCTACAAGGGCTGCTAGGGCAAAATGTGGAGTTAAAAATCTACACAAAGTATTTTAGGATCCTCACTGGTGCTTTGGAGTTCGTGCACTACTATGAGATTCTTTGGACTCAGGCGCTTGACTTAAAAGTAGAACAGAGAACTTTTGGATTACTACCCTAGTGCCATGATGCTGATGTATTGTTTAAAGCTAAACCTAAATGTGAAGTAAAATCACTTAAAGTAAAGCAACACAACGTAAAATAATGTAAAGTTAAATGAAACAGCCTAATGTTAATTAATTTAATGAACATTTTATAAGCGTGCAAGGTAAAATTAGGTAAAGTCACATTAAAATAAAGTAACGTTAAGTTGAGCCACAGAAAGTAAAGGTGATGTCAGGTACACTAAAATGGCGTAAAGGGAAGTTAAGAGACAAGTCAAGTCAGGAAAAGTAAAGTTTAGTAAAGTAAAGGAACGTCAAGGGAGGGATCGCCTTCTCGCCTTCGGGTGTCAGGAGAGCCGACACAGAGAAAACATTGGGACGAGGCGCCAAGAGAGTCGCCTCCCCCACTTATTATTTTCTAGCAATAAATGGGGGGGGGGGCGTCGAGGACTTCGTTCTAGTTTAAAAGTATAATAATAATAATGTGCAACAGTCAGGTTCTGGAACATAACTAAAGTCTGCAGGTCAGACGAACACCCTACCCAGAACTTTTCGTTGGAGTTTACAGCCGGTGAACGTGGAGAAGATAATAATGTGCTGAATGATAGCGGTGTGAATTACTTATATAAAATACAGAAACAAGCACTTTTAAAGAGAATTAACACATGGTTAAGGGTAATGCTTATTCTACTTGGAAAGTTGTGGAGGGGTGGGGGGGGGGAGTGTTCAAGAGGTCTGAGCTCCCATATCTGATCTTTCCCCTCTCCCCGCTCCCCTTCCACACATACAAAGGGTGATATGGCTAAAGGGACATCTACATAAGCGCACGCGCTCACCCACCAAACAACATGGCGGAAAACTTGCAGCACAAAAACTCATGTTTACTCATCTGTCACGCATTCCCAGACTGGGAGTAAACATTGGTACCCGTATGATTACCCCAAGAGAGAGAGAGAGAGAGAGAGAGAGAGAGAGAGAGAGAGAGAGAGAGAGAGAGAGAGAGAGAGAGAGCGATAAAGAAAGAGAGAGAAAAAGGTTACTAAATAGAGAGAGAGCGCGCGATAAAAAAAAGAGAGAGAAAGGTTACTAAATAGAGCGAGCGAGAGCGGGGAGAGAGATTTACGTCCGAACACACACATTCCCACACAACATACAAACATTCCCACACAAAACACACATTCCCACACAACACACATTCCCACACAACACACATTCCCACACAACACACATTCCCACACAACACACACAGTCCCACACAACACACTAGTAAACTTGCATAAATAAATTAATGGGGTAAACTTTGAGGCCGTAGAATCAATCTATACTTAATAAACAAACTGACAATGTACTTATTGGCACTCAAAGAAGGAAGTAGAAAAATCGAAGGGCCCACTAGGCAACATACAAATTAAAAGCTATAGTTTCCGTGCGAGGAATCGAACGTGTCACCTCTAACTGGCGTGTACGCCTCTCTATCGAAACAAGTGAACAAAGAACATGACCAACTAGGCACACTAAAAAATGTGTCATCATTGGTCATGTCTATCGCACAGTGTGAAATCCACAACAATGGATAGGGAAAACGTATATAATTCATCTCAGACCAATAAAATGACGCCACATGTTACAGAAATTTATATAAACAAAGCATAGTTCAAATAACAAACAGTAACAGTTAAAAACACAAAAGACCGTAATGCGATTACGATGATTACCCAGGGAAACAGAGAGAGAGAGAGAGAGAGAGAGAGAGAGAGAGAGAGAGAGAGAGAGAGAGAGAGAGAGAGTAAACAGCAACTTGCAATAAATACTTCTCATTTCATTCTTAGCGTTCACCAGCGGGGAATTGTTGTTCGTCCACTTCTGGACTTTGGTCTTGTTCCAGAATATGTGTTTTGCGTTGCACATCAGTTTTGCAGATCTCGCTTATCTGCGTGTAGACTTGTGGTCCCTGGCCTCTCTTGACAGATCACCCCGACTTCATAGGAAACAACTTTCATAGTCGCCTCCTACGATATCCCTGTTGCCTGAGCGGGTGGGTCTACCCCCACCCCCCTCAACCACAAATGGGGAACCCACAAGCGGAGCTTGTAGCAAGACAACAAATATGTACCTCTATCAGTCACAGATTCGCATACGGAATGTCACCAGCCACTGGCCAGGAACCTGACGCAGTGAGTGGCAAAACAACCATCTATGGCTATTATTCTACAGACGGACATGGGGGGCAATTACCACGTCTTCCAGACGCCACGCATCAGCCAACGTGGCAAACTGAGCTCAATACTGCAATTATGGTGGGGAAAATAACATTTTGTGGTGCTCAATACTTGCATATGTGTGTGTGGGTTTTGTCGTGCCAAAACAGGATAGTCTCAGATCCTACACAAGGACATCTAATACACAAGAGTTCGAGCAGCAGTCGATAGATATCTATACTGCGTGTTTAACGACACACTGCAAATTAATTTACAATAAAACTTCTACTTAACTACATCCGGGTTCTTTATCTGTTATTCCCCTCAAACATGGGAAATCCCAGAATTCCCGGGGAAAGTCCAATATTATAGGGGTGTCACAGTTTAAAAGAAACACCGACTAACCCTTAAACTAACACCCCTATAATACTGGACTTTCCAGAAAACTCCGGGTTTTCCCCATGTTCGGGGTGAATAAATAATAAAGAACCATACATCAGTTACAACAAATTTCAGATTCAACTGGAGAATCATTGCAAGCATCATCATGATGTGCCATCTACACGCCCAAAGAGGGCTCCGAGTCTAGTCCTCTGTTCCATTCTAGCCGGTACAGTGATTTCGACACATGGGATAGAATCGAACTCAGCAGCTTTGCCCTATCCCATCAGTGTTCGTCTTGCAGCTGTCGTGGAGTGAACAGCCAACCCTACACGATGGACGAGTCGCGATGCTGACTTCTCTTAGCGGGCAAATCACATTTCAAACTTAAACCCGTCCGCAGGGGTAATTAGTCCCTTATATTGATATATACCTTTATCTGGTGAAATATTCATTTCTAGACCCTCTAGTTGCTTTGAGATATCTTCATTTTCAAACTCACAACTGTGGGCTGCGATTTCTGGTGTTTAATTGAGAAATTCCTGTAAGCCGGTTTACTTCTTGGGCATGAATACAGGGGACTTCTTTCCTAGAGACGCCGAGTTTAGATTTTAGCGGCATTCTCTCGCCAGATTCCTAAGTGTCAAGACGTGTATACAGTCCATGTAGAAAATTTGCGCATTCAAAGTACCAGTTCTATATTGGAAGATTTCCTAAGCTTGGGTAAGTTTATTATAGTTTACGAGTACCACAATATATGTCTTTTTAAAGTTAGCCACTGCTGCGGAGAGGGAAGATTCAGCTGTGTGATCGCACAGAGTTCGACCGTTCTTGATGTCCAGAGATCAGGCTCCGAACATTAAACCTTTCCCTGCGCAGACTAAATAGTTTGTGATCTACATAACCCACACCATTTGTAAAGATATTAAATCCTACAAGTAATTATTCTCTGACCAGACAAACGAAGTTTTGTGCCTCCTAACAAGAAAAATGGATGTGACGTCTGAGCTCGACGCTTTGAGTCAAAGGTGTGTTTGGCACGGAAATATCGGGTGTGTAGTAGCAGCCTGTGGAGACGTGATATATATATATATATATATATATATATATATATATATATATATATATATATATATATATATATATAGGTACAAACGGGGTACATTGTATGTCTGCGAGTGCAGATGTGAGGGTGGAGAGAGGATGATCTATGTGTGGTAGTGTCTATCTATCTCCACTATATACCTTG